GAGTGTAAACAACTTTTTCAACGAGTTTAGCTGAGAAAGGGAGAGAAAGATGAAGGATGATATAGGTTAAGGGGATAGTGGGGTCAAGTGAAAGTTTCTGAGGATGAGGGAAGAGTAATTATAGGTAACAGAGGAGGCTGAAGATTAAAGATGGGGGCATGGTTGTGGGACCAGTTGGCAAGATTGTGTTGGCACCAATGGGAGACCACTTATTGGGCATGCTATAATGAAGATCCCTTTCATTGGCTATATGGCCTTTGGGTTCCCTTGTAGCTCTAAGATTCTGTGATTCTGTGGATAGGGAGATACAGGGAAAGGCGAGGACAGTGTGTCTGGGAAATGAGCTCATGCTCATATAACTGAAGAAGAGGAAAGGGTTAAGCATCTCCAACTTCTTTTACTCAACAAATCCCAGAGAGCAGGGCGCAGCTGCTAATGAGGAGAAAGCAAATTGGATGCCCATGCTGTTCCCTCTTTTCCTCTACCCATTCTGGCCCTGAAGGCTTTGCCCAAGTCCCACTGCCCCCATGAAGCCTTCCAAGGCTATTGCATGGTGAAGAAATAGCAAAGTACATGACTTGTGCTCAACAGTTCTGGCTCGGTGACTGACTAGCTGTGTGACCTTGGCCAATCCAATTAAAATTTGGGTACATATTATTTACAAGACACTTTCCTTTTCTAGACCTCCATTTCCCCATCTGTAAAAGGAGAGCATCAAGGTAGATGATCAAGCCCACAGCTCTTGTCCCCCATGACTCTCCCATCTCTGTCTGGGGCACTGATGTCAATCTCCCATTCCAGTCTTTGGTCATACATCACTGCCCTGTGGCATCATTTGCTCATTCGGTGTGTCCTGCCTTTCCCACGAGGTTGTGGGATCCTTGACACCAAAGCCCAGGTTAATGAATCAACAAGCCTTATCAATTGCTACCTTTGTGCCAGGTGTGCAGCTAGGGGCTGGGGAGATGAAAATGAAATGGTCCCTGATGTTTAGGGCCGACATTCTGTAGGCTGGGAGACAATGGGAACACATAAGCATATAAAATGTGTGTAAAACAAGAGAAGGTAATGGCAGGGATGGGGAGAGTCTTGTGCAGGTGGTGGTGTTTGAACTGAGACCAGGGAGTTCAAGATGCAGAGGTGAGGAAGGATGGGGGTGTACTTAGAGGTACTAAGAATGAGGGTTTCCACATGAGGCAAGTGTGCACCAGCAGGCATTTAGAGCCCCTCCATTAGAACTAGCCATACCTTAAGACACATTTACATGGTCTCCCCAAATGTCACAGTTACAACCAACAAAATGTTACAAAGCAACACTGTATGGTCACCAGACTGGCACCCCCCAATGGGCTTTATTGCTGAGACCGAGCATTTCCTTCTCCCTTTCCCTCCCAAACAGCTTGCTCCTGCCTAATATTTGTATCCACCAATTTACCCTGCATATATACACCTTGTGTCACCAAGAGCAGACCTCTTAGACTGGGAGCTTCTCTGAGGGTAGGGATCTTTTTTTGCGCACAGTAGACACTTAAATACTTGTGAGTTGACACTGACCAAGGTCCCGTGAAGTGAAGAAATCCCCAAAGGTCAGCATGTGGAGGTTTCTCCTGGTTTTGTGGACCTCAGTTTGAGGTTTTTTTAAATAGCTGGAGAGATGCCTGTAGATTCTCTCGAGTTCCAATCTATAGGCCAGGATCCTCACTCCAGAGTCAAGAAATCCCCCTGAAATCATTCCCTGTTCTTTCCTCCCTCATTCCGGCCCCTGATGAAGAGTTAACTCTTCTTGTTAAGATCAAGCCCTCACCTTGTGCCCCTGACCCCACGCTCCCCATCTCTTGTAGTGGCTTACACCACCAATTATGATTCTCCCTATCTATGGTCTTCCCTGCTGCCCCCAAACATGCCTGTGTCCCTTCCACCCTCATTTTACAGAGGAGGACACTGAGGCTCAGGGAGGCTGATCTGTCCAAGGGCACACAGAAAGTAAGTGGAATTTGCTCTTTTTTTCTCCGACTCGTCTGGCCATTCTTTCAGGTCTCATCCCCAACCACGTTCCCAAAGACTCTGTCCTTGGTCCTTCTTTCTGTGAGAGCTTCACATCAGCGCCCAAGAGTTCACTTGTTATCTCTATACAGTAACACCCAGCTTTATGCATCTGACCCCAGTCTCTACCAAGGCAGATCATGCTCCCGGTGCTTTCCATGTTTCAGCCCGGACAGGGCTCCACCCTCTTCTGCTGTGCTCGCTTGGGTCTCCTCACCTCTTGGTGAAGCAGGGAGAGCAAAGAGTTCTGGGGTGATGTAATCACCCTTTAAAGACTATGCCTGGCACACAGCAGGTGCTTAAGAAATGTTTACTGAATGGATGAAACCATATTTATGTGAGAAATCCTGCTGAGAGTTTCCCCCCAATCTTGTCCGGCTTCCTCATCAGCTAAGTCTTGACCTGGTTTTGTTTTCTCTATTTGAGCAGAATCCCTGGTTCCCCCTCCTCCCGAGTTTAGCTGGGTACAATGAACGATAAGCTTTACATTCCCAGGTCTCCATAGCAGCCGCCCCAGATGCATCTGCCCTTTGGTCTTCCTGCAGGGGTCTTAGCCTCTTTTGTATCCTGGATGCCTTTGGCCATATTTTAGTAGTTGGAATACTAGCAATTGAAAAAGCTAGCTCTTCTGGGACCACTGGAGGGCAGATCTGTATTAAATCAGGGGGAAAAGAACTTCTAATAATCATTCTTCTCCCCAAAGAGGAACCATTGACTCTAGAGGCCAGGATCCTCACTCCAGCACTGGCAGGGCCTGGGAGACTGTCTAGTCTAACCCCTTCCTTTTCCAGATTAAGAACAAGCCCAGAGAAATAAAATGACCAGTCCAAGGTCACACAGGTGACCAGAGTCAGGGCTGGCATCTGAATCTAGGTCCTCCGGGGAACCACCAGACGGCAGCTTGTCTCAGACAGAGAGCAGGCACCCTCCAAGGTGGCCTCGGAGGACTTTCTAGCTCCAATAGTGAGTGCAGCATGGTTCTCTGGTATTTGCAAATTAAAAACTAAGAATGAGGCGTGATTGGGACCTTGAGCTGGGTCTCCTCTACCACATGAACATTCTCATCTACTAAGAGTGGAAAAGACTGTGCTAAGTGCTTATACTTTACAAATATTACCTCATTTGATCCTCCCAACAACCCTGCCAGGTAAATGCTGTTATTAACTCTAGAGTTCCTCAGTAGAGGAACTTGAGACAAATAGAGGCTAAGTGACTTTTCCAGGGTCACAGTGAATCCGTGTTTGAACTTAGGCCTTCCTGACTCCAGGTACAAGTGCTCTATCCACTGAGCCACCTAGCTGCCCCATTATACAAGTGGAAAGATCACCATCCCGTCAAGGGAAGGGAGAGAAGGAGGGATGGGGATATGAATGGGGCTGAATTGGGAGTGTGAGGCAGATGCAGCCAGACAGAGGATGAGGGCTAATTACAGAAGCTTCTGAATGCCTGGCTGACCCCCGTAGCACACAGATGCTTAGGGAATTTACAAAAAGCCACACTCCTCAGGGGTGGGGAGAGAAGGCATCCCTGGGACCTGCTAATTCCCATCCCTCTAAGACTGTATTTGGGACTCAGGGGGGCTTAACCCATTGTGGTATGGGAGTCATCCCATCCTGGGAAGCCTCTGAGATGACAGGAGGTGGGTGTTTAACCCAGAAATGGCCAAGCATTCATGACTAGTCAATGCCAGCTCTTTTTGGTAAGTCACATCACCTGGATGGCCCTATTCTCCTCTGGGAGGGATTTGGATGAGATGGACTCACTCTCAAGGTTCTTTCAGCTCTACTTCTCTGATCTGAGGGTTACCAGGAAGCCTTGTCCTTTCAGGTGGATCCCCACTGGGACACCACCAGTTTAAGGCTGCCTTGCTGGACTGGCTTATGGTCCTGACCATCACAGAATTCAAGACAACTCAAATGGCAAACCCTTGTGCGCCTAACCTCATGCCAGGCTACAGCGTACCGGAGAAATGAGGAAAAGATGCCTCCCGCTCCCCAGAGACACAGGACACACACGAGAAAGGCTCGAGACAGACAGAAAGCACCAACATCACCTAGACCTATGTAGGTTAGTGAATGTTTAATCTCTGAATGCTTTCTACCTCCTGGTGCCCCAGGACCCCTTCTCTGCACTGCCTTGAGGCATGAGCAAAGGAAACCAAGCATGGTAGCCAAGAGGAGTCGGGGGAATTGGGATGGGTCGGGACACGCCTGTAAAGAGCAGTAGCATCTCTGCTCCGGAGATCAGGGCTGGACTAGAGAATCTCTGAAGTTCTCTTCCTCTGAGGCTACGATTCTGGGGCTGTACATGCAGATAACTGAGCGTTAACTGTGATCTGAGGAGCAGCCCACAAAGTCACCGCAGAAAGGAAGCTTCTGCCTCTGGTCTGGGGCAGAGTGCAAGGAAAGATGGTCGGAAAAGCAGGACCGAACAACCACCGAGGACAAAAATGCCAGGCCAGGGGAGGAGAGGGACAAGCGGCGCTCAAGCTAAGGTTAGTCAATGAGTTTGGGAAAGGGCTGGGACGAAGAGCCCAAGGTAAGATGGCTCCTCTGCAGGGGAAAGGAGATCCTGGGGCTGTGCCCCAAAACAGACCGGCCCCAAGCCCAAGGATCTAGGCCTTCAGACCCACAGCTGGCCCCTCCCCTTAAGGAAGGGCCCAGGAGACAGGTGTCAATGACTTGGGCGGGTCCCCCAACTCAAATTAATCCAGGGGAAGGTCTTTCCACATCCACTATAACAGACTCCAAGAATCACAGCATTTAGGGTGCCTAAGGGATCCCAGATCATAAGTCCAACCCCCTCCCATTTTACAGATGAGGAAAGTAGACCCAGAGAGGATGCTCTGCCCAAGGGCACCAGGCAGTAGACAGCAGGGCCGGGACTCAAGCCCAGGGAGGCAGGCAGTAGAGATAGATAGGATCAGACAGAGAGGGGCAGACAGCAGGAGACTCCACCTCATTTTCCAGGGAGAGCGGCTTCTTTTCTGGGTACTCCCAGCCCTCCTGGCAAGACTGCGTGTCATTGAGGCCGTACTGGTAGATGTCATCGAGGCTCCAGCCTTCTGGGGGTGGTGCATACATGAGGCAGGACTCAAAATCACCAGTCTCAGTCCTAGGCACACTGAGATTCAGCCTCTCCTCAGCGGTCAGGTTCAGCCCATAGTTCTGGACCCAGCGAGCAGGGGCACAGTGGTGGGGCTCGTCCAAAACCATGAAGACCTGGGCAAACATGTAGTAGGCTATCAAGAAGTTGGGGATGCACATTAGGATGATGAGCCGGATCTGGAAGGCCCTGAAGCCCCCAATCTCAGCCAGGACCTGGGCAAAGTCAACAGCCATCGTCAGCTCTGCTCCACTCTGCTCCACTCGACTTTTCTGAGGCCCAGCCCAGGAGTGTCTGGTTATATTGGCAACAGTGAATGCCTTTAATGTTTAATCTGACCTAGGTTAAGCCTTATCAGCACCCACTTACAAAACCAGGGTGGCCTCAGCGAAGTGGCCAGGGATGGGAGCTGGAGAGAGTGATGGGAGAGGCAGAGGTTAGGGCCAAGGGGGTCGAGCTAAGGGGAGAGGAGGGAGGCGATTCCTGGGTACAACGAAGCACAGCCTGGAAGGGAGGGGCAGTGGGGTAGTAGGAAAGCCCAGGGCTGGATACACACACACAGACACATTAAGCCCCACATGCAGGGACCACAGGCCTGGTGGGATGAGTGTTGGGGGACGGGTGCCTCAGTCAAGAAGCCACAAGGGGATTTGTTACCTAAAAACACCCAGGGGCTTTTGGAGAGACTGGAGGAAAGTCTGGATGAATGCACAATGGGACTGTGGCCTAAGCCTTCAGGACTCCCAGCGTAACTTTAGACTATGCCCTCCACTTCACCAGGAAGTCTGCCCCCATCCATAGCCTCATCCGCCTCACCAACACAAGGTGCGGTATTTATAATCCCATTAATCCTGAACCCACACTCCACTTGCTGTTCAGGCTTTTAGCGCTCTCAACCCTGATCCAGGGCCTAGTGCTCCTGATGCTGACATCTCTCCAACCCTTCATCACGTCTGGAGCACAGGGGCCTCCCTGGGCTGAACTGATGGACACCAAAGTCACACTGAATAGAAACAGAGCACGTCAGAGGCAGAAAGCGGCTCAGAGACGCAGCCTAAGAACACAGACTGGGAGCAGGAAGGGACCTTGAAGGGTGTTACAGCTGAGGAGACCGAGGCCCAAGGGATCTCCACTGTGCTGGCTGCCACCGAGCCATCCAACGCTTTCCCTAACAGATGAGGAAGCTGACGCTCAGAGAGCCCAAAGGAGCAGAGCTGGGACCCAAACTACCCACTAGCTCTGCGCCCCTTGCTTCCTCAGGCCCGTGACCCTCCAGGCACTGGTGCTGGGGATCTTGGACTGAGAGCAGGAAGGAACCTCAGAGGAGGAATCCAACCCTAGCTGTCTGCGGATGAGGAAATGGAGGCCCAGACAGGTGCAGTTCCTTGGCCAATGCCACCCAGGTAGCAACTGGCAGACAAGATTTGAACTTGGGTCCTCTGATTCCCAATGTAGCCTTCGTTTGGGGCACAACAAGAGAGAACTCTGGCTAAAACCTCAAACCTGACTTGGCAACTCTGGACAGAAGGAGCCGCTCCCTCCTCCCCCTCCCCCCCCCATCAGTCCCTGGGGGCGACCACAAACTGGTACCTTCAGCCCAGTCTGAGGGCCTGCTTCCCCGGCCCCACCACGCTGGACACAGGCCAGAGAAGCGGCACAAGCAGACCTGGAGCCTGGGCCTCTCCCCACCTGCCTCCAGCAGCGCTCTGCTACAAGAAAGAGCCCCAGCCATGACCCCGGACGATTTGTTCTTTATTGATTAAAAACAAGGGGAACGTGCAGTAAGATACAAAGTCAAAAAAAAAGGGAACGGCTGAATATTTTACATCTTTTGTTGTTTAGCGTCCACAACGGTGCGAGGAGCCTCCGTGTATTCCTACAGCGTTGTTCTAGTTCTCCGAGGAGTGACTAAACGAGTATGAGCTGGCTCTAAGTTGGGTTCAGAAGTTAACAACCACAAAACCCCAAACAAATCCATTAGCCGTGTTAGACAAACCCTCCATCCCATGATTAGCATTGGCACTTATTCTGGGCCTCACAGAAGCAAATGCCCTCGTGCTGCCCCCCCATCCCAGCCTGGCTACCTTGGGTCTGACACCCGGAGCCCCGCAGGCCACGAAGAAGGGCTCTTCCCAGCCAGCCGGGGTCTGGGAGAAGGAGCCACTGTCCTCCTGGGCAGTTTCCATCCTACAGTTTCTCAGCACCACCACACAATCAAATCAACGGAGGCATGAGTGCACGCCCAAAGAAAAATAAGAATAATACTGTCCTGGGGCTTGCTAGCTTGTCTCCCTAGGTCTCAGTGGGGCAAAATCAATTTTCTAAAATAAGACAAAAATAGCCCACTTCCTACCTTCTCAACTCACTACATGGAATTTCTGTAGCAGCTTGAGGCGCCTGGGGATGTAAGGGCATCAGGAGCAGGGGCCGGCTGGCCTCCTGCCTTCCCCTAGCACACTCCCGTACAGAAAGCTAACCAGAGAGAAAGCATCACTCAGCCGGCTTTACGATGAAGGAGGTTACTATGGGACTGCTGGAAGCCAAACTGCATGCTTGGACCAAAGAACCTCACTCTCTGCCCTCCCCCACACCTCAAACTCATCCAGATCCCCCCGCCCCCCCCCCCCCCCCGTGGGTCCCTCCGTTTCACTGCTGCTGAGGTCTCCAACTCTCATCAGATCTGTCCCTTCCCCACCCCACCCCACCCCCCATCCCAACTTGGCAAAGGCTGAAAGGGGGCAAAGGAACTCCAAGGCTCACAGGAACGTGCTGGAAGAAATCATTCGAGCTGGGGAGCCTTCAGAGAGGCCACAGGGAGCTCCAGCTTGGTAATTAGAAGGCTCGGTAATCTGAACACCAGGATGGTCTCTAGTCACCTGCAGAGGGCAGCCCCCCCCAGCCTCTCCACATCAGGGAAAGGCAAAGGTGGGCCAGCGATTGCAGGGAAAACTCCCCCACAGCCAATAACAGGATATGAAGGCCAGCTGTGAAATTGTAGAAGAAAAACCCCAACCCCATAGATTCCTCCCACATTGTATTACAAGTGTCTCATTTATATGATTTCTGTAGAAATCCAAACCAACACTGTCTCCTCCTGAACCCTCACTGTCCTGGGCACATCTCAAAGCAAGGCTGAGTTGGTGGAGGGGTCTGGGTACAGGCGGGGGGCTGGAGGCAGGCCAGACTGGCCTGAGAATCATGACTCTCCTTTATTGCTGTGAAAGCCTCAGCCTTGTTCCACACAGACCCTTTCCCTCACCACTGAGAGGGTCAAACTCACAGGAGAAAAGATGTTGGGATCAAGGGGAAGTTTCTTTTAATTTTATTTAAGTGGTGAAAATCACCACTTTTCCAATGACAGAAGTAATGACTTGCTTGTCATCACTCTGGGGAAAAGTAACCCGAGGGTGTCTAGGAACTGGGCCAGAGGTCCTCCCCACTCTGCCCAACCTCCCCCACCCAAGCTGACGCTGGGCAGGGGGCCCAGGGCGCGTCCTCAGGAAGCAGCCACCTGGGAGGGCGCGGCGGATGAGCCTCGGGAAAATTCTCGAGAATGTGAGCAATAAAACTGGAACATTTTAGGCCAATGACATTAGAAACTGTGCTTATGATGTCCTTATATTGGCTGCTAGGAGTTACACTGGGACCAAAGGAAAGAGCCGGCAGTTAAATCCTCTGGCATCCGGCTGACCAATCTTCCGTGGCTATAGTGCGGCCAGTCCCCTCATCTGGTGCGGATGTGCCCGATGACAAGGAACACCAGCTGGGCACCCCACGGGGCTGGAAGAAACAGGGCCTCGCGCTCCGTGGCATTTGTCAAGTAAGGCAAGAAGAGAGCGGCAGGCCCAGCCACGGGCATCCGTCCGAGCGTCTGAGGCAGGGCCCGGCGCGGCGTGTGCAGTCATCAGCTTACAAACGGAGCGTGTCACGGCAACTTTGGTGAGCTGATGCCAGACAGTGGTGATCTGACGGGGCAGGGGGAGGGCAGACCCGGGTTCTTTGGCAGTAGTGAATTTTAGGCCAACAGAGCGATAGAAACATGATGAGTGGGTTCTCCGTGGGGAAGCTTCCTCTGCGCCCGAGGTTTAGCTGATGCTGAGCTGTGCAAATCCTATAAGTTTGCTGTCGTCGGGAATATCTGAACCTTCAACGCCAGATGCCTGAGGACCAAATAGAGGAGAGTCTGGCTATTGGGGGGCACCATCACCGAACTCGAGGCAGCAGTGAGAACTAACCTAAGACCTGGAGAGAAGTTCGGCCAAGGTGTGGGCTGCTGGGGGAACGGGAGGGGATCAAATGCAACTGTCCCTTCAAAGAGAGATGGGGGCAGAGCCTAAGGCTCACGTGTTCAGGAAAAGACGGCCCCTGAGGGGGAGAGTTCTGAGGAGACCAAGGCGAGGAACTGGGCTGTGCGGAGTCACTCAGTGCTCTTCCCTGAGAGCAGCAGGGAAATGGTTTGGGGAAGGGGGCTCTGGGGAGAAGCAGCAGAGGCCTCCACGAGGGAAACCCCGTCCTCTGCAGGAGCTCAGTATTCTCACAACCCCGCTAGGGAGGGTGGCTGCAGGACGACAGGGACTACGCTATAAAGCAAGACAACTTTATACAGAGAGAGGGAGGGAGGAGGAAGGAGGGAGAGAGGAGGGACGGAAAAGGGAGGAAGGAAGAAAGGACGGAGAAGGAAGGGAGGAGGGAGGGAGGGAGGAATACCAGCTTGAAAGTGACAGAGCGATTGGACTGGGGTTCTTCCACAATTTTCTGCAAATTAGCTGCCACTGTAATCACACAAAGAAAAAATGTTAGGCCAAGCAGTTCCACGCTCCCCACCAAACCAGAACCAGCCTCGGTCAAGCAGCCAAAGGCCACCCTCCTCACGCCCCTCTCAGAGCGGCACCAAAGCTGCAGCAACCCCAGCTGTGCTGAGTCACACGGAGGGGTCTCAGCCTCCGAAAAGCCGGACGGTGCTCGTGGCGGGGGCTGGAGAAGCCTCTGGTCCAGAACAACGCTGCCAGGCAGACGGCCTGCCTGAGGAGCCCCCGCCCCACCTTCTTCCCTCCCGTTCCCTAGGCCGCGTCTCTGCTGGTCCTGATCCACTTGCAGAACCATGATGCTGATGGCATCTGGGTTTCCAGTCAGGCCTCCTCCACCACAGGCCGGACACTTCCAAACTCATTTCCACCTGTGACTTTGCTAGGGTTTGGTCAGGCTGGTCTCCCATAGGCCCCCAGGGCTGTGTTCATTTAATAGCACGATGGCTTAGCATAAACAGCTGTAAGAGGGTCTGTCTGGGACTGTCCCCAAGCACCCAATGAAGGCTGTGCTGACTTCCAGGCTAGCTATCTATTTCCTTGCAGACACACAGGCAGGTGCACGCTCGTGTGCGCGCACGCACGCTGATGCGCACACACACAAGCAGAGCAGGACAAAGTTACCTATGACTAGGTCTCTGCCATCCACGAGGCCGGCAGAGATGAGTTCCTGTGACACGCCATCGGCTGTATCTGTGAAGACAAGAGGAGGAGACGGTGCTCCGCTGACTGCCCAAGCACAGGCTCTGGGGCAGAGCGGCCCGCCCAGAGCGCCAGGGCGCAAGCTGCTCTGATGAGACCATCGCTCCCAGCAAGAGCCCAAAGGAGTGAACATCCCACGGGTTCTCCAAAGGCAAAACAAGGTCCAGTCAGAAAGACACATTCCAGGTCATTAAAAAGGAGAAAACTCTAAAGATCAAGGAGGAGCAGCGGTGGGGATGCTAGGACAATCGATCGAATGGAGCCTGGGGGCCCACCAAGACCCTCTCCTTCCACCAGGAGCCTCCAGAGAGTGGCAGGATGGCAAAGCAGAGGGGGCTCTGAATGGCCAAGTCAGTCACTGGAGTCTGCTGCCCACAAGCTGGGTGAGGACCTCAGGGCCCATCTGGCACTGCTCTCTGTGCCTCTTCCAGTCTAGAAGACGGCTGATTCCAGGCTGTGAAGGGTTTCCATGCCAAAGAGAGAGCACAGACTTGGTCCCAGAGGCAACAGGGACTCAGTGGTGCTTCCTAGGCAGGGCAGCGCTCACCCGGGCTGACTCGGCAGGGTCACAATTGCATTGTCATCATATAAACTGGGTAGCTGTGTGGAAGGTGGGCTGGAGGGAGAGTCAACAGACGCCTAGACCTGGGGGGTTGTTGAGAGTAGAGGGAAGTGGTGAAGGATGAGATGTTCAATGGGATTTGGCAAATGAATGGATGTGGGGGATAAGGGGAAAGAAGTCAGGAACCTGAATGACTGCAAAGATGGTGGCGAACTCCACAGAGAAAGAGAAGTTAGGAACAAGAGTGTCATGGTTTTTTTGGGGGGGGAGGGTGAGATAATGATCTCCACTTTGTATTTCCTGAGTCTGAAATGTCTATGGGGCAGCCAGGTGGGAAGATCCAGCAGGCTGGTGATATGGAATTATAGCTTAGAAGACAGATAAGGGCTAGACATGGAAATGTGGAACTGCCTGGACGGAGGTGAGAACTGAATCCATGGGAGCCGATGAGTCACGAAGAGAGAGGCTACGGAGGGAGGGCCTAGGACATAGCCATGTGGAAGCAGAGGAGCCTGAGGAAGCCTGGTCAGACAGTAAGGAGAACCAAGAGAGCATGGAATCATGAAAATCCAGGGAAGACTGCCTGTCCAGGAAGAGGAAGCGACAGGGTCAGAATCCAGAGAGAAGTAAGGAAGAGAAAGGGCCATTAGGAGAGCCATCCTGGGTGACCCAGAGACACCAGTTTAGTTGAGTGATGGGACTAAAAGGGGATGAGAAGGGAAGGGGAACGCAGCCCCCAAGCTCCCCCGGGGCCACTCTCAGACCACAGGCCATGCTCTTCCCCCTGGAGCCCCTCTGCTCCTCCAACGAGAGCACAGAAGCTTCTCCACTCCGGTTTGTTTTCTCTTTTCAAAGAAAATGCTCTTTGAACTGGGAAGGATAAAGAAAGAATGTTTGTCAGATCTGGGAAACACCAGATAAGCGAAGAGACGTTCAGGCAGCATCAAGCTGAACAGCAGAACAGGCCAAACTGCATCCTCAAGTACATAAAGCAGCGGCTGTCGGTCAAGTGAGGTCGATGAGCTTTGATTAAACATCCCTCACACGTCAGACCCTGGCGGTGGGCTGCTGTGATTGCTGGTGATCTCTGAAACATCTTGGAGAAGGAGGACGGCTCCAGAACACAGGGTCAGACCAGTGAGCTTCAGTGTGACACACTAGTAGATGGGGCTATCTCAGCTCTGAGAAGGTGAGGCGCGTGTCTCCTCAGGAATATACCCCATCCCACAAGATGTGTCCCTTTGGAACCAGCTTGCAGACAAAGTACCCTCAGATTTCAGCCAAGCTCTTGAGCAAGTGTGCTACGTGTGTGCAGGGAAGGAGGAGAGGGCAGGCAGCTGGATCTGGAGCACTGGCCACAGGACCAGATCCCAAAGAACGAGAGAGAGAGAGAGAGAGAGAGGGAGAGAGAG